ACAGTTTCAAACACATACGCAGGTTGAATCCGTACATTTTCATATAAATCCAAAGATAACATCTACAAGCAGTTTTGGGGTGAGTCACAGATTAAACATTGCAGGCGCACTAGCATATATTCTTTCTGTACACTTTAAGAAAAATAAAGTTAAATCTCTCCCATCCATCTAGTTTAATTATTAACAGGTGTCTTTAATTGGTTAATGCTTAGACTGCCTGGGTACGAATGGAAACTGTGCAACTTCACATGATTAAAATGGCTGTTTTATCTGTTAGCTTAAAGAGGCTGGGCTCATGGGGACATTGTGACTCTGGATATAAGAGGAGTAAAGTTGGAAGTGAAGGAGGGACCTTCATGGAGCCACAGCCGTACCAGGATTCATGCTTCTTACCTTCTATGGTGCCCCACTTTGTTTTCCTTCCCAGAAGCCTCTTCCCGTTCACCTGGTACTCCTGGTCACTGCCCACCACAGCAAAGGGGATCATCTCCTGATTGGGGCCAGAACACGCTGCGTTTCACTTTCACTGTTTGATTTTTTTATAAACCAGAACCGTTTTCTCTCCAGAGAGGCCTCACCAAACAACATAAACTCACCCTGATTTTGTCATTGATCATTCTATCCTCTGCATCTTCATCAAACTCTTTCTGTGGGTAGACGTCGATCCCATTGGCTCGCAGTTCTTCCCTGATCTGCACGCAGAGAGGAAAATACCGAGTTAAACCAGCTAAAGCTTCACAGAATACAACAGTTTATAAATAAACACGCTGTTAAATTTGCTCGCTGAGATTTAAATCCTGTTTTTGCACAAAAAGATCTTGGTGAACTAATCTTAAGACACACGGGTGGCAAGAGATGAGCTATTATAAGTGTCCTGTTGGACATCATGCACAAACCAGACAATGTTGATGGAATTTAACCCAACAATCATTTTAAAAGGAAAATTACAGCCTTGTTCAGTTATAGGATGTTATGGAAAAACAATCTGGTCTTTATTAGGTTCTGAAAGAATTAAAGTCTCGGCCAAACTGCACCAAAACACATATCAGATTCCACCCTGTTGGTTTTTATGGAGCTGAAATGGAAAGCTCATGTGTGGAAGCATTCTGGTTCATTGTCTTTTTTTAACGGCACTAGTGACTCGTTTTTTCAACAG